TTTTTTTTTTTTGCCTTATTGTCATGGCCAAGACCTCTAGTGCAGTTTTCAAGTAAAACAGATGATGGTGGGCATCCTATCTCATTCCCTTTACTAAAAGGGAGTGCTTTTGATGTTTTACCATTAAGTATTATGTTTATTATAGGTTTTAAGTATGTATCATTTTAGAATACTAATATCCCTTCTGTGGCTTAAGTTTTAAAAAAATATCGATTAAAAATATCAATTGATATTGCTTTTTCTATACTGAGATGAAAATATGATTTTTCTTAATCTATTAATATGGTTAGTTATATTGATTGACTTTTAAGAAACTTTGAACAAAGTGTGGATTTCTGATTTAAATTCAGTTTCAGTGTGTAATACTTTAAAAATAATGTGGATTTGATGTGCTAATATTTTCATATTTTTTGCATTTATGATCATGAATGAGATTGGTATACCATTTTCAGTTCTTGTATAGTTCTAGTTGTGGTTTTGTATTGGTTTCAATTTAAACTCCAAGCTACAGAGAGGGCCCTTTGCTCCTGTTCTATGGTAGGATTTGTATAATTTATTTTTTTAAGTCTTTGTCGTATTATTTTATCCTTGAATTTTTGGTAGAGCTTGTTGATGAAGCCATTTGGGCAAGTAGTTTAATTTTTACTGTGGGAAGGTTTTTAATTATGATTCAGTTTCTTAAAACATCATTCAAGTTTTATGTTTTTCGATATGTTTTTTGATAAACTGTATTTTTCATGAATTTTTCCAATTTGTCTGCAATTTTAAACTTTTCAATAAATTTAATTAAAACATACTCTTTAATTATCCTTATTATCTGCAGTTATGTCTCTTTCTCTGTTTTATTAATCAGTATATATCAAAGGTTTGGCATGTTTATTAATCTCAAACGGCCAATATATGCATTTGTTGATCATCATTTTATGCTTTTTTTCTATTTCATTTTGCTTCTACTATTTCCTTCCTTGTGCTTTCTTTGGGTTTCCTTTGCTCTTAATGTCTTGAGATATGTACTTAGCTTTGTAATTTTTAGCAGTTCTTTATTTTCTAACATATATATTTCTTATTCTAAGTAGCTTTGGCTTCCATCCCACAAGTTTACTATGCAAAATGTTACTCAGTTTAAAATATTTTCTAATTTGTGTTGGTTTCTTCTTTGACCCATGAGTTACTTAGATATGTTATTTAATTTTTAAATACCTTAGGTGTATTTAGTTTTTGCTGGATAAACATCATTTCTATTTCCTTTAATGTATTTCTGCTAATGATATTTTTTTTCAGTTTGTGTTATTTTTAAAATGTCTTTCTTACCTTCATTTTCGATATATATGTTCACTGGTTATAGAATTCTGGGTTGGAACTGTTATATTGAGGTAGTTTCTTTTAGCACTTTGAAGATACCATTTCATTGCCTTCCAACTTTAGTAATTTCTTCTTGGGAGATGAGGAAGTTGGCTGTCAGTCTCATTGTTGACCCTTTGAATGTAATTTGCCATTTTTCCTCTGGTACTTTAGAAATTTTATCTCTATCTTCAGTTTTCTGCATTTTCACTATGATATGCTTAGGCATAGATTTTTTTTAATTTGTCCTTTTTGAGGTTATTACAGATTTTTGAACCTGAGAATTAGGTCTTTAGTGAGTTTCAGAAAACTCAACCACTATATTTCTATATTGATTTTAACCCATTTTCTTATTTCTTCATTTCCAATAAAATATGTGTTAAATATTCTTAGTGTGTATTCTTTATATGTTTTTCTGTTTAGCTGTCTATTAGTGCATACAAGCTGTTCCAAAAACTAGTGGCTTAAAGCAGCTGCCATTTCATTATTTCTCAAAATTCTGTGGGTAAACTGGGGCTGGGTTGGATGACTCTTCTGCTGATCTTGCTTTGAGGCTTCAGTCTGAAAGCATCTGGGGCTTAAACATTAAAGATGCCTTCACTTACATGTCTGGTACCCTTGATGGGTCAGCTGGAAGGCTGATCTCAACAGGGGTGACAGGGACATCTTAGTCTCAGGATTATGTCTTCTTTAACTGGCCTGTTGTCATATCCTATCCATGTGGTCTCTCCAGCAGGGCAGCTAGGCTTCTTACATGGTGACTCAGCTCCCAAAAGGGCTTTCAGAAAAATGGAAGCAGCCATAATTTGCATAAGCCTAAGACATAAGTCCAGAATGGGCATAGTATCACTTTTTCTCTATTTTTTAACTTAAAATTAGCAAAGCTTTTGTTAGAGCTAACCTAGATTTAATGTGGGAGGAGACTACATAAATTCATGAATACTGGGAAGTATGGTTCAATTGTGGCCTACCTTTGAGACTTGCTACCATATCTCATATCCTTACACTTTAGTCCTTCTCTATGCCTGTGTGTAATTCATTCTGAATACCTTTTCCCCCTGACTTATCTTTCAGTTCACTAATTCTTAATCTACTGTTTCTAATTTTTTAAAAAATTGTATTTTGAGATCTAGAATGGATTATTTTGTTCATTTTCAAATCAATGTAATTAAAAAAATGTTTCCAGTTCCCTACTGAATTTGTTAAGTCTGTCTTTAAGATCTTTGAATATATTAAGCACAGTTATTTTGCAGTCCATTTCTGGCAATTCTAATACTTGGAGTCCTGTTTTTCTGTTCTATTTTCTGATTTTTATTACTCATGTTTTTTTCTTCTTGCATAAATGGTTATCTTTGAATGTGTCTGGATATTTATTTTGAAAAAGTAAGATGTTGTATGCCTCTACAGGATGATTTTGTTTTCTTCTGTCAGATGCCTGAAGGTACTAGCTTTCTGGACTCATGTTAATAATTTAAGTCATTTGAGCCACCCAGATGACTTGAAGCTTGGTTGTAAATCCAAATGAAGGCTGGTTACTTTCTGTTCACTTAATTTTTTTATTCCAAAATGAGATGACTTAACTCTTGGTGGGTCCCAGCTTCCATTTTGTCTCCCTCAGACCAATCAGAAATAACCTTCATCTTATGTTCCTAGGGTATCAGCAACACACACCCCCCCACCCCCCGCCACCCCCGCAATAAAAAACAGCCTCATGAATATTCTCCCATCGGCTTTCAGACATGGTACTCAGTTGTTCTTCACCATCATAATAGCTCTTTGATACCAGTCTTAAGATGTTTTCTTCTACTTTACTCAGCTTCTTTAGTTATCTTCAGTGGGAGTCTTGGCCCCAATTATCTGGTTTATTGTTTCTGAAAGTAAAAGTTGACATAATTTCCAGTATTGATTTTCCTTTAAGTCTTTATTCCTTAGTTTTATATGCATTTTTATACAACAGAGGTAATACATGTTAATGCTGATCTTGGAGAACCAGCACCTTATCATACCTCTAGTTTAATCTCTGTTCTGGTCAGGGTTGTCTTCCTGTGACTTGCCTCATCTTTAAACTATTTTACAATCCTAGACCATTAGAAAATATCCTAGAGACTATCTAAGCCATTGCTTTTTAATATGTAGCTCATGCTTCTCCTGCAAAAGAATAATCTATGGGAAGTTATTAAAAACGATCTGGTACAATTAACTGCATTTTTCATACAAGGAAATGTATGAGAAGAATGGTTAACTGCATTGGATTTAAAGTTGTGACTTAATTTGTTGAGTTACGATTACATTTGATATGATTAAATGTACAAACACATGTCTGTGTATGCTACAGTATTGCAACTTGTTTGAAAATTGGGGGCTCATGTCTTAAAAACATAATCTACATTATGTGTAATGGCACTTTAGGTGACCTTTGCTTAGGCATATTAACTTAGTTTGACTTTTTTTCCCACCTGCTCTCAAATTCTTAATAAGTTGTCCATTTGAATTTGAAAGATAATGTATTTCTTGCTATGAAACTAACCTTGTCATGTGGCTGGAAAATTTTTAAAAAGATAAACAAAAGTGAAAACATACATCTCAATAGCGAGGTGATCCTTTGGCAGCCCTACTTGTGAAAAACCACTCTTAGGAATGCTGCATCTTTTTAAAGCTTTTCTTACTAATTTACCAGCTCCAGAGACCCAAACCATCTATTCTGACAACATTCCTTTCTGGTATTTAGGCTGTGGATGAAATTGTGAATGGAATTAACTTCATACTAGAATTACCTGAAAACTCCACAAACTGGTACGTAAAGTTAATCGTTTAGTAGGGTTTTATGACTTGCTTTCTGCTCTAGTTGTATCCCATTTTAACTTTACTAGGAATGTACTTAAGTTTCTTACTGTTTTATTGTATTTTATGTTTGTTACTATTTTAATTTACTATTTGTTATATTTCACTCCCCTTTATTTTTGTCACTTTGATGAAACGCAGTATTATTCTTTAAGCAGAGGTGGAGAAGTGTCTGGAAAAACATCAGGTGATCAGAGTTCTTATCCCTTCCCGACCTTTGGTAACTTAGTTTATTTCTGGGAGCTATGGGTTCTTCACTTCTAAAAGGAAGGGTTGGACTAGACAATTTTTATACTTGAGTCATCCATTTCTTAACAAAATTCTTATACCTATTAGACTTCTGCTGTGAACTGAATGTTTGTGTCCCTCAAATTCATATGTTAAAATCGTAACTCTCAATGTGATGGTATTAGGAGGTGATTAGGTCTCCTAATCATGATTAGGTGTTAAGGGATTAGTGACTTTATAAAAGAGGCCCCAGAGAGCTCCCTCGACCCCTTTTTTTCAAGACAGGTTACAGTGAAAAGGTGGTTGTCAGTGAGGAAGTGGGCCCTCACCAGACGCTGAATCTGCTGGCAAGCATGATCTTGGACTTCCCAGCTTCCAGAACTGTGAGAAATAAATGTTTGTTGTTTATACACCATCCACTTTATGGTGTTTTTGTTCTAGCAGCCCGAATAGACTAAGACAACATTCAAGGAGCAATATCGAATACTCAATTGGATAGCTGAGTATTTTTCTCAGTTTTGCCATTCAGGCTAACACTGGACATTTGGGAGCAATCAGTGCATAGATGACATTCAAAATCAGGAGCTGAAATGAAGCCACCAAAGGAAGGGAGTTGTAGAAGAGAAGAGGAGCCAGTTGAGCACTGAGTCCTGTGACACCCCACTGTTAATAATAATAAAGAGCATAGAAGGGTCAATAAAGACTGAGCAACTGTGGCCAGGAAGGTAGGAGGAGAACCAAGACACTGAGTGTCTTGGGAATTAAGTATGAAAAGCATTTCAAGATTTTTTCTAATGAGGCTGACAGTGTGGGTAAGATAAGGACTGAAAGCTTATCATTCATTGGCTGTACCAATGTGTAGAGGTCATGGGAAACCTTGACAAGTCCTGTTTCACTGTAGGGAACATACTATTGGAGTGAGTTCAAGAAAATGTGGGGCAGGGGAATTAGAACTAGTATGACAACTCTGAAGAGTTGCTGTAAATGGGAACAAAGAAAGGGGACTGTAGCTGGAGTCAATGAAATCAAGGTTCGCGTTTTTGTTTTAATGTGGGAAAAATTGAGTACGTTTATATGCTGATAAGAATGATCCAGTAGAGAGAAACATTTGAGACAGGAGATAGTGGGGACAGTTACAGAACTGATGTCTTTGAGGAGGCAAGAAGGATTTAGTACATGAGCGCGTTGGCCTTACCTAGGAGTTCAATATATTCATAGGAGAGAAGGTAGAGTACTTGGGCACATTGGAGGTCATAAGCACTAAGAACAAGTATGTTTCACTCTCTGCGTTTTGGATACATGGTAGGATTGTACTTCCTGGCTCCTGATGACTTGGTTGGGGTCATGTAACTGGTTGTGGCTAGTGAATTATCTTAAGCAATACATGTAATTTCTTCTGTGCTATAGCGTTTAATTGTCAGCACGAAAATCTTCAAGTTATTTTCCCTCTGCTACGGTGACTCGTAATGTTCTAGAAACTGGATGTTCATCAACCTGCATCCTTGCGTAAGGATAACCTAAAGCAGAGCCCCTAGCTGACCATTATGGACATCTAATGTCTTTTGTTGTTTTAGGTTATTGTTGTTATAGCATTAGCTAACCCATCGTAATATAAGCACAGATGTGGATAGAAGGACAGATGTGATGGTAGGGGTTTATGGAAAGTCTTTTATGGTTGCATGTAGTATTTCAGTGAAATAAGAAGCCAAGAGTGAGGATGGGTGAGGAGGCATTGGAGATTTGAAGAGAGAACCAAGGGGATGAAATAGTCATTTGGGAGAATCTGAGAGTAATTGGATCAGCAAAATGTATTATGATTATCAGACTGACAGAATTCAGGGCCCACTTGAGTTTGGTGGCCATGATAAAAGTGAGTGTTGGTGTATTTTTCTTTCATCACTGTTGACTTAGTGGCACAGACATGGCGTAGACAAAGAATTGGATATAAAGAGGAATTGGGTTTCTTTAAGAGAAGATGACAAAGGGAGAAAGTGGAAAAGGAGTTAAAAAAATACATGCAAGAGAGTATTTAGCATATTCTTTTAGAACTTTTAATCGGTCTCAGACATTCTTAGGGTAGTTGACATTGAGGACTGAGAGACATAGTAAAAGTCAAACTCGTGACATGGAGAGGTTGTTTTAAAGTTTACAAAGCCCCTTTGCACATTAAAGAATATGAAAAAGGGCAAATGGTACATAAAAACAGTCCAGCTCTTTTACTGAGGGATATGGAGAAGACCTCTTGTATGCCCATATTTATCCCCTGTGCCTCATGAAATCCCTGCCATGGGGGAGGCCTCTTCCTTTTCTTTTGTTCCTTCTTTTCTTTTTGTTAAAAAAGGTATTTCTCTTTAAAATATCTGTACTGTGGTTTAAGCTTGAACATAATTCTCCTTGTCCTTCTTTTGTCTTTACTTCTTTTTTCTTTGTTTCATTGTGGATGCTCTCTTGGGCATGTAGGAGGGAAGAGAAGATTATTGGAGTAGGTTACCACAATTCAGAATTAGATCCAGGGGTTGGATCTGTAAGCCCAAATATCCACCATTAGAAGTCATTCCACTAGACAACCCATGAATTCTTCAAATTATAAGTGATGAAACTGAAGCTTGAGGTTACTTTTATTACCTATACAACAATTGAGAGTTCTTATAATCTTCACACACCCTGCCCCGCCCCTTTTTGACATAACTTTTTTTCCCATGCCATAGGGAGTGTTGGCTATTAATGGTAGGAATTGTCCTTAATTCTTCTAGTTGGTTTTATGTGCCCAGAATGCCTCTTCCAGGCCACTTAGATCTAAATGATGTCCCAAAAGACACTCAATCAAAGCATCCATTCTTTTTTTGCAGCTTCTATATGCATATGCTGATTCTAATACTGGAACTGTTTATAAGAAAGGATGCCCTGTATTGGTGTCCGGTCAGATAGTTCTAAGAATTGTTAAATGTGTTTCTTTAGACAGGGACAGGAGAAGGCTGGTTTGAGGAAACCCTGCTGTCTGCTTTGGTGCTGAGCTTGAATCCTGGGCTGAGGATCCCAGGTTCCCATTCTCATCATCATGCAGCCCACCCTGCCTGATTTGAGGGGGCAGAAATTTCACCAGGGGACTTCTGTGCTGTACCAGAGAGAAACAATCCATATACGCTGGGCGTGCTGCTGGTGTGTTATGGATGGTGTTGGGAGCCTGGTGCTGCCAATGAGGTGTGAAAGGACAGGTCTGGCCACTGGGAGAAGTTATATCTGGCCTCAGGAGTCCCCAGTACTCTTATTAGTACTTTCTTCTTGGCTTCAGGATGATTTTTGATAATTTATATTAAAACATGAACATCTCTGAGAGGGTGAGAACTTCAAATCCCTTTGAAAAATACCATGTAAAAGGTAACTTAGCAATTCTTATGACTAGATTTGGGGAAGATGGACAATGAGAGATGATGGGAGAAGAGAAGAGCTAGGCCTTGCATACTTCATAGTTAAGCCCCTGTTTGCTCAAGAGCATGTGAATTTGGGAATTCGGAGAGTTTTCTGATTTCAACTTGGGACCACAGGTTATTGCTTGAACCATGACCTTTTACACTGCTTGGTCTCCTCTTTTATTCCTCATATTCCCAACAGGAGGTATTTACTTCAGCTTTTCCTAGAACTTCAGCCTTTCCTAGACCTATGGTATCCCCACTGAGGGTTCTCCCAGGATAAAGCCTCACAGGTTTGCTTCTCTCTGTTTTTTTTTTAAATCTCATTTACCTCTGGGGCAGTGTTCCATGTTGGTGACAGTAGCACTAGGTACAAATTAATTGAAGTGGGACAGAAGTAAGAAAAATCACGGCATACCCATAGGAATTTCAGAAACTAGTTTTACTTTTCTTTTTAAAATAGATTACAGTTTGTGGAGAAGCATGCAAATCACATAGAAACTATGCAAATATATTTGCTATCTGGTTTGTTATTTCACATACCTGAGTAATGCCTCTGGTGAAATTCAAAGGAGACCGTTCTTCTGTATTATATAGATCCCAAAGCCAAGGAGTCATGAGCTATTGGGAAATTCAGTTATACAGTATCTGCTTTTTAATCTCTAAGGCCAAGATATAGGCATGTCCATTACGTTTCTATTACGGGGGAAATAGTCTTGGACATTTTCAATCCATTTCCTTATGTCATCATTCTTACAGTGGAAAGTTGAAATCATGAGCTTTAAAAAAATGTGTAGTTTCCTTTGAATTTAGTCTTTTCTGACAGGAAGCCTGGTGGAATAAAAGTTTACCCTGCCTTTTTGCTCTGTCAACCTAAAAGAGTTATTATTCTTATATATGTTGTCTCCTTAGAGTAACTTTTACATTTACAGAGGAATGATGATAGATCAGTGTTTAGAGCAATGAGAGAGCAAAGAGAATTTTGGTAGTGGGGAGTCTGTGCAGGAACCATTCATGAAGTCCCAGCTGCTAGTAATACTTGTACTCTCCATCTACGCATGAATTAATTCCTTTTGCTGCCTTTGTTATAATAGCCACAGTGTTCAGTCTCTAAGACTGTCTTGTGATATATCCTTTTGCTAAAAATCAGCAGCCTCATTTGATTTAGAAGCCAATTCAGCATACCATGCATACCACTTGAAGGATGTTGGGATCTTTCCTGCTATGAAAATGTCATGCATGCTTAAAATGACCAAATTTGTCGCAAGCAATGGTTTCAAGTGCTTTTTAATTATTGTTCATGAATCTTCAAAG